TCTTACCTTCTTTTTATTTCATTAATTCATTGATATATGGAAAGCAAATCTTATGCGTGTGTATCAGTGTATCTCTTTTATGCAGATGGAGTTGACTCCTAAGGGCATTTGGTCTAACTGTTGAGCTTAATGTTGAGCACAGCATACCTTTGATTAATTTTGCCGTAGGTTTATTCAGAAAGCTAATCATGGATGGACAAACTGTGAATTCATTTCGTTAATTGTTTTATGAGTAATGCCATAGAGCCTACTTGAATGACTAGTTGGGTTACAACTCAAGTGTAAATGCATTATTTTTCAATTTTTTTATAATGCAGTTACACTTGGATTGTACCCTAGTTGTCATCCAAATGGGCTAAATAACATTACTCTTGTTTTATATATGTTGTTAGTGTGACGGATTAGAAATAATTCAAGTGTTATATCGGTGACACGTGTTGTGTATTTAATAAAAGGTCTATAATGGGTAATAGTTGAATTTTTTTTTGTATATGCCCAACAGATTTTGGGAAAATTTCATGGATAGGTGTGATACAGTTATACTCTCTTTTGGAAAAAATTGTGACGTAGCACTAGTAAGTAGAAAAAAAAGTTATGACGTAATGATATGCTACAGTAAGGTACATTGAAACATCAACTTATTGTGGTATGGATCATGTTCCGTTGTTATTACGGTGTACTAGATATGAGTAATTCTGGAGATTATCTTCCACCAAATTGCATTTTGCTTCATCCAAATTAAGTTTGGATGGACATAATTGGATCTTCTTGCACTTCTTATACTTAATTTGGTCAAGATCAGGACGTTGTCACTTTAAATATTTTCCATTATTTCATGACTCATTAGTTCCGATTCGTTTGAGTTTCTTAACTTACTCTTTTTGTCAGGCTGAATCATCTCATTTGTTCCTGGTTATCCACTGCTCGATTAATATACCACATATAATACATGTACACATATAGAAGCAGTGGCACCATGAGAAGTAGTTTACCCTGTTCCAAATGGTTTTCCTGATGAAAGCCATGACTGATGAGTACACACTGTTTTGCCCTTGTAACTCTGCTATATGTTCCCTAGGTAGTTTACTAATAGCTGCTCGAGTGCATCTGATATTATGTAGAACAAAACCTTATTTATTTGATTTTTTTTTTCGCTGATTTAGTATGTATTAACCATATTATTTGTTTCTTTTGCTGATGTAGTAAAGTATCTATTGTCTACCTTGTTTTATTTGATTCTTTAGATGATCTAGTAAAGTGTGTATTATCTATATATGGCTTTTCTGGTTTAGTTAAACCCAATTAAATTAAACCACTGTCTTTGTCCTAAGGTGACTGGTTTCTGTTGTATCTCAAAATTGACTTCTCTTTTTCCTGTTGACCTTAGGAAAATGGTTATATGTCTACTTGTGTGGTTTGGTGCTCGTTCAATTTGCACAATCTGAGCTACGTCACCACAATTGATTTGGAAAAAGAAAACTAAGTACTTGAGTTGCTGTGATGAATCTCTTTTCTTAGGAATATCGTTCACCATATTTTGTGCTTGTTGAACAGAGCTAGCGACAAGTGCCAGAAAGAGAAAAGAAAGACAATCAACGGGGATGATTTGTTATGGGCCATGGCAACATTAGGGTTTGAAGACTATATTGCCCCATTGAAGTCCTATTTGGCTAGGTACAGAGAGGTACTAGAAGTTTTCCTATTACTCTGACTATTTTGGTTTACTGTTGCAACAAATGCCATGCCATATAATTATCAGTTTCCCTGATTTAATGTATAAATTGGCAATAGTATTTATATTTGATTTTGGAATAGTAACAAAATTATTGTTAAATTTTTTATGGGTATCCAGTAGTACATGTGTAATGACATCAGACGGCAAGGAAAAGTTTGGCCAATTATTTGTCACAGCATTTTACTATCTGTGTCACTGCTAATTTTTAAGAATAGTTATTGCGGAAAATCCTATTTTTCTTCTTGATATATGGAGTGAAGACAACTTTTTACATTGACACTGCTTATGTAGTCAATAATATTTTTTTGGTGCATATTGCAAACATGAAGGACATGTTTGCAAAAATATTGAGATCTTTTAAGAAGGAAGAAAAGCTGGTAATTTTAGCCATTTTGCAGCAGGTTGTGTGCTTTAGGAATTCTGTTGGTTGTGTAATTCTACTGTTGGTTGTCTCGCATGCCCAACAAAGCTTACATGGCAATTACTATCTTATTTTATTTCTTTTTTCTTTTGTATTCTTTTTGTTGGGTATATCTAATGACAAAAGTTTAATGTTTAAAACTAACCTCTCTCTTTTTTTTTTTTTTTTTCTTTTTAAATTATTTCCAAACNACGTCAACTTCACAGCTTGAGGTATGAATGAATGCTTTTAACAATATTTACTTGACCTTCTTTAGTTGATAATATTGTTTATGAGTTTGTGACATGTATGTTAATAGGGTGACACCAAGGGATCTATTAGGGGTAATGATGGATCTGTTAGGAAAGATGCTAGTGGTGTATCTCAATTGCATACAGATGCACAGGTGAACTTTCGAATTTTGTTTAGTTTACTTATCTTCAGTTCATAAGATCATTACTGCTATTAATCTCCTTCAGTCACAAAGCATTTATTTATTTATTATTATTATTGCTCTCACCCTCTGGATGGCATTTGGCAGTTTGCGCATCAAGGCTCTTTTTCCCAGGGCATGGGTTATTCAAATCCCGAGATTGAATATTGAGTGAGTTTTCATCCCTTTGCCCATATAGCAATTCTTGGTATGTTTAATGGAGCTTTTTTTGGAAGTGTGAATTGGCCTCTAATTCTGTTCACAATGTCAACCATTTGAGAATGTAGGGTTCTATTTTAGGCCACTTGAAACCGGGAGTTCCTCTGTTCTGTCATTTGGGCTATATTTCAGTTTTTTGCTGGTGCTTTTATAGTAAAGACTTTATTTTTAGATTTTTAAGTATGCTTTAATATAAAGGATGACTTTTTGAAATGGCTAAAAATGCGATAATTAGGATGGTTTCCATGCTAGGCTTACAGATCTTGGGTTATTCACAACTTATTTCTACATTTGGTGCTTATCTAGAATTACATTGCTGATATTTCAAATTTCCCTTTTGAAAAAGGCAAGGGTTTTTGCTTATTATGAGTTTCGTTTCCTTAAAATGTTGCAGGAATGTTTTGAAGCTAAAGGCAAGGATGTGGCTCGTCTCTGCTGAATTCGGCTCGTCATTGGATGGTGGTGATGTTTTTTTATATTATTTATTTTATTATTTTATAATACCGTTTGAACTTCAAACGAAGTATAGTGATGTGTTTTTGTTATAGTTATATCATATATGTAATATGTATATGTATATCCTAAATTTCTAAATTCTTTGCTCATTCTTGCTATTGAGCATACAGTGTTTAGATTGTAATAGTTGCTTTGCTTCAGACAACAGTTTCAAGAATATCTCCAGCACCAGCAGTGTTTAACAGGTTATTAGGCCATCATTTAATCAGGCCGTTTAAACGAGCAGGGCCGTTTAACATGGTTGCAATGCATCCATTAATAGCGGGTCCCATTTGGCCGTTCAACATACTGAACGGCAATTTTGGGTGGCTTTTTTTGTCTTTGTTTTAAATTAATTTATTATTCAAACTATTTTTTTTATATTTAATACACTTTTTATCTATAACACATTTCTCAATGTGGATAAATTTAAATCTTATCTATATCATACCTCTAAATATATATTAATAATTTATATTTTTTATCCCCCATTCTTTTTATGTCATAAATACACTGCAATTTTACAATTGTCTTGTATAAAAAAATTTAGCAACTGTTCATTTGCATAAAAAAAAAAAATCCGAATAAGGCATGGGCTCTGAAACATTTATCAGTTTGATAACTTAAATTATTGTGTCAGAATCATGTGGTATGAGCTATGGCAACAATATTAACAATAATATTGTCAGAATCATGTGGTATAAGCATGACATATGACACATTTATTAATTTGACAATATGCAATAATGTTGTCAATAATCTTATATGTAGAGATCTATATATCCAAAGCAATCCAACATTTTCTTTTTCTTGAATAAAAAATCATAACAACAAAAATTTAGAATTCAATTAAAGCTCCAAAAAATGTCTCAGTACACTCATCTATATTAGCCTTTAATTCATCATCAACCACCGACAGTGAAGATGGTGAGGACACAAACGATTTAGAAATTGCAATGATATGATCTATTCTTCAACAAAGCCACAATTTACTTCAAGCATATCAATGCAAAATTGAAATTCGTAAAAGAAGAGAAAGTTTATCCAGAGAAATTGTGATGTCGGGCATGACAGACTCGTAAGTGATTATTTATTTAGAACCTCTTTTGTACTTGCGAAAGCTCAGAATACCTGTTGGGACAGTGTTGTAAGGGTGAATATCGTATTCTCAAAATTGGTTTTATGCAACGGGCAATGGTGCACCACTTATCAATTGAAGCGGTGTTGCCTAACTATGATATCATAACCAATAAAAAAAACGAAAACTATCTCAATGATTGAAAATTCTCAGGGATGTAAAATACTTGTTAAGGATAATATAAATACAACAATGGATTGTTGGGTAACAAATCAACCTCCTCACATGAAACACTAATCACAAAAATTGATTACAGAACATGGATGCACAACAAAATCAATTATGAGATATATATATATACATAATCAAAAAAAACAAAAAAAAAAAAAAAATGCAGAGTGAAAAAAAAATCTAAAATTTGTGAAATTGGAACACGAATTTCCAATCAAACTTTATAGATTCTTTTTACATTTCAAATCACAAATCATTGAAACATGAATGCATCCAAATATTTACCTTGATGAATTGATGCTTTTGAAAAAAATCACAAAATAAATAAATGAATAAGATCTACAGCCAATGAATGGACAACGGAGATTCAATATCTTTTGACTAAATTGCTACATATCGTATAAAGAAGATTTCTTAAATAAATTTGAACTGTCATTGAGATTATAGCCGCTAACTTCGTGCGGAGAAGAGAAAAGTTATTTACAAATGTATAAATTAAAATTCAATTTATTAACAAGAGGTAATTTAATTAAATAATTAAATACTTTTAAATAGTAAGATATGCATAATTAAATACCTTTTAAATACATAAATTAATAGTTATTAATTTTGATTTCTTAAATATTTTTATAGTAATATATGAATAAGTACTTTAGGTTTAATAGTACTATATGAATACTTAAATACTTTTTAAATAAATTAATCAATGGTTATTAATGTTGGTTTCTTAAAGATTTTAAGAACATTTTAATATTTATTATTTTTGATTTTCTAATTATTTAATTGGAAGAAGCAACGTGTACCATGGTATTAGAGCACCCACAATGCATTGAGTCTCTTAATAAAATAATATATGTCACATAGAAAATAGACATAGTCTATAAAAAAATGTCTCTCAATGCAATTAAAAATGAACATGATCTAGCTTATGTGACAATAAAAAAAAGAGACCAAGTCCACACTTGAGTCTATTTTGGACCCAAGTACAAACCCAAACACTCATCATTTATTTCTAATTTAATTTTTATTTTAATAAAGTAAACATATTAGAGCATTTTTATTGGTTGACACATATGCTAGACCTAATATATTATTTTTGCATTGAATAACTTTTGAGTTTTTTTACTTAGGTTTGTCCACTTAACAAGTCTTTTTAACGGTGGTGGAATGACCCTACAGTTGGCTAAAGATGGATTTTTATAAAAGGAAATTCCAGAGGTTAAATAATTATAATTATAATAATAATATAAAAGGAAAAACAAAACTCTCAACAGTCGCGAAATCACCTGTCCCAACTCCCAATCCTTATAAACGTCTCTCCGTTCTCGTGAAGACCTCCAAACAAAATCTCCGTTTTCAGTTTAAGGTATTGAATTTCTTTTACACTTCAAATATTGGTTACGGTACCAGTATTTTCATTTTTTCGCGTTGAATTCTTGTTAACTTGCAATTTTCAGAATTTAAGCACGCGTACTGTATATTTTTCACTTTGTGTGCCGCTAGGGTTTATGCTTTTTTATATTGATGAAAATTATTTGAGATTCTATTAAATTCTTTATTTGATTTTTTGTAACATTGATTGTAGAAATGATGATTATGGAAGATGAGCAGCAAGGTGACGCGGCTTAGGATATAGCTGTAGAGACGTTTCCGTTTTGCCCTTAGGGTGAGGAATCGCCGACAGAGCCATTTTCTGAGATCATGGGCGGCGAAAATGAGGCACATGAGTCTTTTGAAGGGGAAGGTGGAGACGAAATCATGGTGGAAATTGTTGGGTCTGATGTTTTTGTCAATGGGGCCATTAGCCAAAAAGAGTGCTCCTTATTTTCGGGAGAAATTGGATATTTGGAGGGTCATGAAAGGGGGAACAAAGAAGAAATTGGAAGTGGGAAGCTTCCGGAGGGTGTTGATGTAGATGAAACTGGGAAATTTGAGGCAGGGTTTGCAGGGCCCAGAGACGATGATGCGATTATCGAAGAGAAGACGATGGGAGATGAACGAATCCAGAAGAAGGTTAGTGCTGAGAACCTTGCAAAATCTGAAGTTTTGAATTATCCTGCGGATGCTTCTGTGGAAGCGGGTTTTGATAAAGTGGAGAAAAAAGGGGTGTCAGCTTCAATTTCTGATCAATTGGCAGATTATGCTCATACTAATTATACTGAAAGAGAAGTTTTAAGCACATTCAGTGATAAAGCTGGAATTTTAGGTCCTAACGATGAAAATGCGAGCAGTAATGGTGATTTTGGTGTAAAAGCTGGAAATGTTGATGAAAAAGTTGTTTCTGCAGAAACTGGAGACTCGATTGTTGAGAAGGACCCTCATGTCCCTGATGTCTTTGATGAGAATCATGGTTGCGTTAAACAAAGATCTGGTGATGTTCAAATTGCTGAAGTGAGTGATGGCCTAAATATTGATATTCAAGCTGGTACAAAGGTAAATCAGCCAAATGTAGAGCAGATCGGTCCCAAAGTTTCGGCACCGACTACAAAGTCCCCAGAAACTGCTGAAACTCTAGTGGTTGATGTGTCGAAGGAAAAAACTTCTCTCCCGAGCGACAGTTGTGCTTCTGATGTGGCTACTATCCATGACGTGGTAAATAAACCTAATGAAGCTGAAGAAAGTTCTGAAAAAACAAGTGGCTTTCATGTAACGGAGGACCATGCTTTTGAAACTAGTCGCATGGTTGTGGAGTATGATAATGAACTTGAAGTTGACCACAGTGGAGAGAATGTGGAAGCTGAAATTTGTGAAGAGCCCGAATTAGAAACTGAGATTATATCGTCCAATGAGAAATCTTCGAGGCTTGAAAGAACAAATCTGTCATGTTGTCTATTTCAGAAAGAGGATCATTTTGTCCCGTCTGATTTGGTTTGGGGAAAGGTCCGCAGCCATCCATGGTGGCCCGGACAAATATTTGACGCGTCCCATGCTTCCGAGAAGGCTCTTAAATATCATAAAAAAGATGATTCTTATTTGGTAGCGTATTTTGGTGATGGCACCTTTGCTTGGATTGAAGAATCTAAGTTGAAGCCTTTTGGGTCGTATTTTTCCCAAATGGAGAAGCAAAGTAATTCTGAAAAATTTAAAACTGCAGTCGATTCGGCCTTGGAAGAGGTCTCGAGACGGGTTGAGTTAGGTTTGTTGTGTGCTTGCGTGCCAAAGGACGATTATTGTGAAATTGAAGCTCAGCATGTCGAGAATGCTGGGATACGTCAAGAATCAAGTGAAAGGTATGGTGTGGATTATTCTGCAAGGGCCCATAATTTTCTACCTGACAAACTTATAGATTACATTAGTGATTTGGCTACTTCTGCGTTTTCTGAGGCCGATAAGCTGGATCTTGCAATTGCTCATGCACAATTATCTGCATTTTGTCGTTTCAAGGGTTATCATGCTCCGACCGAATTTGTTTCTTACGAAAATTTGCTAGAAAACGATGCAGATAGCGAGAAAAAATCTCGTAAAAAACGTAAATCTGTTCCGAAAACTGGTTCCACGTCTAGGAAAAAAGAGAAAAACCCAGTTGAATTTACTGGTGATCGTGAAGTTATTTCCACAGATGTTAAAGATTTACCAGTCAGCTCGTCTTCCGCGAGAAAACGGAAAGCAACCGATTCTAAATCCGATGGGTCGAACAAAAGGGTAAGCGTATATGCTGCCAAAATATCTAACCCGACAAGTCGAAGCCCCCCCACCAAGCCTTCGTTTAATATCGGCGATTGCATCCGTAGGGCAGCCACCCGGCTGACGGGCCCCACATCTACAGTACAAAAGGACAATCACAACATTGATGAGATGGTAATTGATGGTGTTGATCATGGAATATCGGGAAACAATCCCACGTTTGTTGCAGAAGAAGAATCTTCACTAGCTGACGAGATGTTAACACTCGAGCTTGCTGCACAAAGTCCCAAGGATGAGGTCAGTTTTGATAACGACGAGACTTTCTTCATGGCTTTCAGAAATTCAGTAGTTTTCGATAGTCCGGAGGAGGAGAAAAAAGGCGATCAGACGATTGGTGGGCTTGGTGAGGAGTTTGAGTTTGATGATCAGAACGAATTTTATTCTGGTAAGGAGAAATTGGTAAAACCGGCCCGTAAATTGCATCCGAGGAAGAGATTAACCAATCCAAAGGTTGCTCTTAAAAAGTTGGGTAATGAGAATGTTATTAATAGGAAAGAGGAAGAGCTGTTATTACCTGCTGAGCTTATTCTGAACTTTGTCGAGAAAAGTTGCATTCCGTCGGAAATTAATGTGAATAAAATGTTCAGACGATTTGGGTCGCTGATGGAGTCTGAGACCCAAGTGGATCAAGATTCGGGCCGGGCCCGGGTGATCTTCAAGCGGGCTTGTGATGCTGAAGTTGCTCGTGATAGTGCCGAGAAGTTCAGCATATTTGGGCCTTCTGTTGTTGTTAGTTATGAGATATGTTACTCACCTTTGATATCTGTTAAGATTTTGCCTGATGATGTACCTCGTCAGTGCCTGGAAGGGGAGACTTTGATGATTTAGGCCTTGTTATCGAAGGTAACAATAATTATATACTCTACATATCATTGGTTTTAGCATATTTTCAGAAAAAAACCAGTTATCGTTTTTTTCTTCCTTTTCGTTTGTGAAAAAACTTGAGCTGTATTTGCTAACAGGAAGTTGTGGCATCCCGGATGAGAGGAAGCTGTTGCTGGATAGGTTCTGAGAAGGTAAGCAAACAATGTGTTTTCGAGGTTATAGGTTCTGAATTGGCTGTATTTAGAGATGCTACCGTTTGTGTTATCTGAGGAATTTGGGTTGTACTTAGTGATGCTACCATTTCTTTATACATATATTCCAGTGATGCTACCATTTCTTATACATATTTTCCAAATGTTTATCATGATGTAGGTTTGTTTTGTTCATTTAGTTGTATTATATTTTTGGTTCGGAATATCGTTTTCCTCTTTGATGCGTAACCCTTATGGCGGTTATCGAACAGAACTGTCGCGAACAAAGCTCGTTCGTGTTCGATAAACAACTATTTCGTTTAGTAATCAATTCAAACTCTAACATGAAATTATGCTCGTTTAGTTATCGAACAAACACAAAAAAGTTTGCGAACAAAAATGTATTTTATAATTTTACATATTATATATATAGTATATACATATATAATATAATATAATATATAAATATGAATATATATTAAATATTAAATAAAATAACTTGTATCGTATTGAAATAAAAAAGTCAACAAACACGAACACTAACTTGTCGAACAATTTGAACACGAACAAGTTCGACTATATAAACGGACGAACACGAACGTGCCGAACTAATAAATGATGAAAATTTTTGTTTGATTACTAAAAGAACGAACACGAACATGTTCGAAAATTAGTTGAACTAGAGCTCGAAAACTTTAACCTCGTTTCGGTTTGATAATTGGCCTAATTTGTCTAGAGCTATAATATATCTTATTTTCTATGACATTTTTTGTACGATGCTGTGAAAATATTCCAAACGCAAATACAATGAGGTGATCTATATATCTGTATCGTGACTGCAAAAGTGAGACAAAGATTTGGTTTAGATTGAACCGAAAATCTCCAATGTGCGCGCGTCGTGCCCATGTTAATGGCCGGAAAGGTAGAGGTAACCTAGAGAAGTAAAGAGGATTCTGTACCGAAAAAAAAAAGAGAAGTAAAGAGAATTGAAACGACTGAATATAAAATCCACTTTTTTATGAGCTAGTTGAGAGAAACAAGAGGAAAAAACGAAANATTAGGTGTGCGTAGATAGTGATGACTTACAAAATGGATGAACATGTGGAAATTAATAACGAAAAATGGGTATATTAGAGGTAGAGACCAAACAGAGGCCGTCATTTCAAAGAATTTTTCCATAAATACTCGACTATAGTTATTCCTATATAAAGTGGAAAAAAGATGACACAATTTGAACATTTATCTAATTTTTATTAAAGAAAAAAAAAAGTGAAGATGAAGGGCTATTTGACTTTTAAACCGTGAGAGAGAGAGAGTTCTAACAGAAGTCGCATTCATGAAGAACACGCTCTTTAACTACTTTTGTCATTCATCAACACGTACGCAGTAAACGTCCCCTTGTAAATCGCACAAGTCCTTTTTTCCATCGGTAAAAGTCGGCACCGGTCGAAAGACACCGGTCCACCAACACCGCCACGTGTTATTCCTCTCATATGATAAGTTATTGCAGAAATTATGTGTGTCCTGCAAATTTTGGCTGTCCCATAAATGAGGGAATATGTGTGCGCGTGTCTCAATATTTAGAAGTAAGATAAAGGAAATAAATGAGAATAAATATATATAATTGGATACAATATAATAATAGTTATGATCTAGTCAAAATTTAATATGACAGTCAAATATGACATGACAATTTCTTATATACGAGCATGTTTGTTTATGGAAATTTTTGGTTTTGTTTAGATTTTTTTATTTGGTTTGGTTAATTTTGAAAAAGGTGGTATAGTTAGGTATTAGTGGGTATATTAAAATAATATTTAAAATAAAATAATTAAAATTGATTTGATGTAAAAGTATGAGAGAGATTATTTGAAGTGATAGTTAGTTAAAATAATGTGAGTGGATGAATAGTGAATTAAGGTTGATGTGGTGTGTACGATTGATTGATTGATTGATATTATTTAATTATATTGATAATATTGATGATAGTGTGGTTGAGTTAAAAAAAGTGATTGAGTTAAAATGTTGGAAATTTTTTGAAAAAATCTTATAAACAAACATGCTCTACACATTCATCAATGGGCCCCACAACCAACCCACTAACCACATTCTCTCTCTCACACTTACACGGTAAAACGCATAACACACACACACACACACTCAATTCATCACATTCAGACGACCATAGCCCACCGCCTCCGGCCACCGACCCGATGCCGCGCCTCAGCAGACCGCAACCTGAGACGGCTGCAGTCTATCAGTGTCTCCCCTCCATTTGTAGCTCCACCGCCCGCCGCCCGTCGTTGAGATTCCGGCGAGATGCGACCGATTCGACCCCGCAACACTACTCAGCCAAGGCCCCCCATATTTGTCATCGCCGACCGATCCTATGGCGGCAACTCGCAGGAACGCCTATGTGATTCTCCTGACAGCAGCGCGCAGTCCTTGAGACTGACGTCATTGAGCCGTGGCGGCTCTAGTTTTGTCGAGTGAGTATTTCGATTCTCCCAAGCGGCGGTGCCTGCGACCACACAGGCGAGCGAGCCTCTGTCGACGATGGTCGTCTGCTGCTGGGGGTGGTTTTGATTTGGGGGGTTGGCTTTCTGAAATTTGATATGATTAAGGGATCTAATTGGAATATCTTAACTTTCAATATATTTTCAATTTAGTACGTAGGCAAATTGGTGATTTAACAAAAGTTCCAGAGATTTAGTTGCAATTTCAGAAATTTATTACAATTAGTTTGTGGTTACAATTTATAATTTAATAAAAAATTAATAAATGCATGTTCACTACAATGCAGAATATAGTGTATGTATATGCACAATAAAAGTTCAAATAAAATATGGAACGTAGAATATTAATCACCGAACCGACCGACCGAATTGTCGAAACCGAAAGAAGCGATTCGAACTTTTGAAAAAAAAAAACGATTAATTTTTGAACGTGTATTACATGGGTTGAAAAAATATATTACCGAATAACAATATTACAAGTGTATTTGGTTGTCGTTGATATTTTAAAAAATTTAGTTAATGTGTACACATTATTATATTTTGATACTTTCATATGTTTATTTAATAATTTATATTCTTTTTTTTTTGGCATAAATAACCGAATTTTTAATAGTAAAATCAAATAATCGAATTGAAACATAACAAATTTGAATAAAAAAATTTAGTTTGGTCGATGTTATGCAGTCCGACAGTCATTCATGTGCAATTCGTCTAACCATATTGTGCATAGTTTGGTAGTTATTGTGTAATCTGGATCGGTCGAACTTTCGTCTAAAACCAAATTAAAACCAAACCGAATTAATTGCTGGTTTATTCGGTTGTTTAACTGAGTTAATCAAATCAATTGAAATAAAATATTATTAATATTATAAAAATATATCTAGTGTTAACGTATGAAAAAATATGTTAAAAGGGTATTCAGTTGTTACCGATATTTTTAAAAATCGGTCAATATATACACAATACTGTTCAATGGTTGGTGTTGATATTTTGATATTTTTATATGTTTATTTATTAATTTACATGTCTTTTGGTATACATAAGTGAAGTTCTAAAAGTAAAAACATCAATCGAATCGAACCGAAATATAAAATTACGAACAAAAAAGTTTAGTTCGGTCGTTGTTGTGCAGTCTGACAGTCATTCATGTGCAACTCGTCTAACTATATCGTCCACGAGTTCAGTCGCTATTGTGCAATCAGAATCGCTCGAACTTTTTGTCTCAAACTAAATTAAAATTGGACCGAATTAATTGATTTATTCGGTTGGTTAATTGAATTAAAATAAAAGAAATGAAATATTATTTATCTTGTAAAAATGTGTTTTGGTATTAACATTTGAAAGTATATATTATACGTGTATTCGGTTGGCGTCGATACTTTGAAAATATCGGTTAATATATACACAATATTGTTAATCGGTTGGCGTCGATCTTTTTAATATTTTTATATATTTATTTAATACTTTATATTATTATTTTCCGGCAGAAATAAACTACTTTTTAAAAGTAAAATACAAATAATCAAACTGAAATATATTATTTGAACCAAGTTCTTTAGTCTATTCGCTGTCATGCAGTCTGGAGGTCAATAATGTGCAATTCGTATAACCATATCATGCACAGTTTTGGTTGTTATTGTGTAGTCTGAATCGGTCAAACTTTTGTCTCAAACTAGATTAAAATTGCACCGGAATATTTGGTTTATTCTGTTGGTTAATCAAATCAACCAAAATAACTGAACTAAAATATTATTTATATTGTAATAATATATTTAGTATTTTTAATATTATATTTTATATTTTATATTTTCTTTTGCTGGATTGAATATATTTTTTATATAAAAATATAAATTCGACGTCGAACATAAATAATTTAATTGAAAGTAATACAAATTATCGAATCGAAATATATAACTTCAAACCATTTTTTTTCTGCAGTGCGAGAATTTTTTATGTGCGATTCCAAACGTGATTTTGCAATTAACAATATTGTATGATTATTAAATATTTGATAAATTATAAAATTTATCCATTAACTAAATTGAAATTTAATAAAATTTATAAAATTACAATTAGGTCCTTGTGAATTATCAAATTCTCAAAAATCATCCATCCCCAACTCCATTTCTCGCCGGCATATTCTCCAATATTTATGGCTACCGCCACGCGCCTGCACTATCCGTTGGGAGTTGCGCCGGCAGGTCCACCCGCTGGATCGTGAGAAGAGGAAGTCGGAGATTCTGATTTTGAGTTCAATTTTTGACAGGGCTGAGCGGCTTCAGGGCCGGTATAGCCGTCATCGATCGATTAAGGTTCCAACCAATCGAGTAGATTCGTCCTCGATCGTCTACAGCGACAAGTGGCAGGTGACAGAGGTAGTCGAGTGGTCCGATCTCAACCGGAGTCTGCACTCTTTGAGTTAGACGACGGGTGAGAAGGACGCTGGCTGAGGCTAAATTGGCGGAGAGAGGCAGGTGGCGGGCGATGGTTAAGTGGTTACTCGTGGAGTGTGACTGTGTGTTGTGTGTGTGTGTGTGTGTATGTGTGTGCATGTGTTNTTAATATGCTTAAATCATATTAAAATCTATAAATTATTCATCTAACTAATACATCCATGTACGTTGACTTATTCTGAAAAGTGGGACACACGCTTAGAATCTCCAACTTATGAAAAAAAATGCTATTTTAAAATTACAAAAGAATGTATAATGTGAGCTTGGAGAGCATAAAATAGGGGCAAGTAACGCAAAACATTGAAAACCAATCCCTAGTTCATACTCTATTCACACTTCACTTGAATATATTCATTAAATATACTCTATACGACAAATAAAATAAAATGAAATGCTAACGAAAAAATAAATAGGAAAAAAAAAAAAATGAAGATTTTGAGTCGTGTGTTCTCCAGCGTGGCGGGACTTTTTGCTATAAAAACTTCACTTTCACTACTCTAATTTCGCACAGCCCAAATTAAATATTTGTAAATATGGAAAAGTGCGGAGAGAATCCCACTATAGTTGTGACGGAGTGTTCTCTATCATCTCCGTTATCTTTTCCGGCAGTTATGAGCCCATGCGCCGCCTGCAAGATCCTCCGTCGGCGGTGTGTGGACAGCTGTGTGCTCGCACCTTATTTCCCGCCAACCGACCCACTCAAGTTCACCATTGCCCATCGGGTCTTTGGGGCTAGCAACATTATCAAACTACTGCAGGTATATTCTATAATAATAATAATAATAATAATAATAATAATAATAATAATAAAAATGAAATACACTTCATTTCATCAAACAAATTTACTACTGTTGTCCATATTATGTAGTATGTTCGATGATTCGATCCCTATATATGCTGGATACCTATATTCTAATAATGACCCCTTTACCTCTTGAGATTATAGATATATTTACATTAATTCCTCATTACCCTTAGTCCCTTAATAATTATTTAAAAATTAAATCTGTTTTGCTTGGACTTTTCTTTTTATAACTCTAAATATCAGTTGAGTTGAATCGTAATAGTGACCTACTTAAAAAATTTGCGAAAAAATCTATGGAGAAGGCATAATCCAATGACTATCTTCAACCGAGGAAAATTATTTTCAGATTCAAGTGTCATAATATATGTGGACCCAATTTTTTTATTTTTTTTTTTATATTTTATTTTCAAATTCAAGTATCATAACACCGACGTATTGAATCATTCGCAAATCGCAATCCTACTTATATAATTTCCAGCTAGCAAATTAGACCGCATTGTGTTTATTTTTATTTTCATGTTTTATTTGAGAAACATTTAATAAAGCTAATTATTAATCAATATAATTCTATGTAAATAAAGTGTTGCCGAACACGCAAAAACTACATACAATACAGGAGTAGAAAACTGCATTAACGCGCACGTTAATCTCGTGTGATATATGGACGTGATCAAGTTAAAACTTCGTGAGATCGATGGAAATTATTTTAAAAAGGAGAAATTATTACAAAATGAAAAAGTGAAGTGAATAAGAAAAATTCTCCATAAAGTGGCTGACAAAGGTCTTCCCTCTAGATAAAATAAATAAATAAAAATTTAGAAAATGGGGTATGTAGGTGAAAATTTTCAAATTATTTTTCTTGACGACGTACAATTTTCATTGCTTTAATAGTTCATGTAAATTTGGCTTCCCTTAACGAATTTTCAAATGGAAATTGATATATGGATCTAAGGTCAATGGAAGTAGGCACCTCTTTAAAATGACATTAGCAGAGAAAAAGGAAAATGTTTTGCATATTAGCTAACTAATAAATGGTCATAATAATAACTTTATAAAAAAAAAGTTCAATAATGATGAGATATAGTACGTACGTACAGTTTTCACTATCAAGTTAAACTAGTCATCTCCATTTGTCAACATTTAATGATGGTCAAAACACGTTTTCTACTTAATCACACTCAGTATAGTTGTTTGATGAGACCACCAAACACAATTGATATCCCTAGCCAACTAACCTAAAATATCACTAGTCCAGTCACTAGAAAGGTTTGAATACACATTATACTAATTACATTATCACTAAATCAAAAATGAGAAATTTTTATCACAATTAGGTTGTGTTTGGTAAGCATATAAACTATCTTATAATATGATTAGGTTAAAAACTTCTAGTATTCCAATAAGATTGGTTTGGTATAACGAACTTTTCTGAAAAGCTCGAGTTTATCTCATAAGTTTCCTTGGTAGCTTTTCAAATAAGTCCATTGAATTTTTTATTTCATCTAGTTTATCGGCTAATTTTATCAAACACTTTTATTGTATAGCATAGCTTTTCAGCCATAAGTCATAAGCTATCAGCTATAAACTCAAAATTCACTTAAAAGTTACGTTATCTGCTATAAGCTAACTTATAACTTATTTGATTAGCTTATAAGCTTCCAGTATTCAAATAAGCTCAGGTTGATAAGACAAACTTTTCTAAAAAACTTGAGCTTATCTCGTAAACTTCTTTGGGTAGCTTTTCAAATAAGCTCATTGAATTTTTTATTTCATCTAGTTTATTAGCAGATTTTACCGAACACTTTTATCATATAACCTAACTTTTCAGCCATAAGTCATAAGCTATCAGCTATAAGCTCAAAATTCGCTTATCAACTATAAGCCAACTTATCAGCTAGGTTTAACAAACACAATCTTAGTTCAATTTGTCAAATAGTTTTTCTAAAATCCGCATATTTTATTTCAGGAGCTTCCCGAGCCTCAAAGGGCAGATGCCGTGAGCAGCATGGTGTACGAAGCCAACGCGAGACTACGCGACCCAGTTTACGGTTGTGCCGGCACCATTTGCCAGCTTCAAAAACAAATCAACGAGCTCCAAGCAGAGTTGGCTAAGGCGCAGGCCGAAATCCTAAATTTCCAATGCCAGAATGCAACTTTGCTCGAGTTGATATTCTCCGATAAGAATCATCATGTGATAACCGAAAATCGTCAAATCCAGGAACTCTCGCCACAAGAACCGATTTTCGCGCCATACATAGAAAATTCGACTCTTTTCTTGGACGAGAGCGTTTTGGGAGTCGCGTGGGAGCCGCTTTGGACATAGGTCTAATTAACTTCATTTTATGTTTAATTTTACATTGAAATAAAAATATGTACTCTTGGAAAAAGGATTTGACAATAGATATAGTGATGTTTAATTGTTTTTTCTACAACTGAGAATATAGCTAATTCAAGATCGAGAGACATGTTTATGTACTTGCGGTTACGGAGAAATTATGTAACTAGACATGATGAGCATATATTTGCGTCATTCATATGTAATCTTCCAAAGGAAAAAAGGAAAATTAAAGGTCATTGGAATTAAAACTTTTCCATCTTCTTTTGGGCGACCTAATTAATTAATTAATTAATTAATCCTATCATTTTAAGACAGAATTTGTTGTTCGCGTGTGTTCATTAATTAATACAAGCAACACTACAGTAATATTTCTTACCGACATACGTACTTTGCACCTTTTCATCTAAATCAAGGGCTAGTGTGAATTTTTTTTAATAATTAATGTTTTCCTCAAAAGTGAAGGTGAAAAATGAAAATAAATAAATAAAACAAAAGTGACATGACATGCTACCTAAGTGCTGATGATGATATATTATTGAAAATAAAGAGTAAAATCTTCTAGTTTTGTTTACCAATTAATTAACTATGAAAATTTTGGTAAACCTAAATCCATGGGCAATGTACTTGACTTCTTTATACCCACGGTTTTAATTATTCACATTTCGAGACCAAGTCCCAATAAATTTCATAAGTTACAAACACTATGTCATTTATGAATCATTTATAGCATAATTTTTTAGTACCAAACGTACAATGTTTATTTTTTCATGCAGAATACATGAGACCAAAAAGTGCAAAAATAATTCTAACTGCATGTATAATATTAGAATATTCACTTGTAAGTTGTCTCACATTATTTATACAGAGAAAATAGGCCTAATTTATATTAAATTATTCACTTCTAAGTTGTCCCACATCGTTTATACAGAAAAAATAGGTCTAATTTATAAGTCTAATGAACTACTCCTATTTATTTCTCACGTACCCCTGTTGTTTCTAGTAGGCTTTGGGGCACCCGACTCCGTATACGGGCTTGGGCTTTCTGAAAAGCACCATAACAGGAAAAACCCAGATGAAGCCCAAGTGAAGTTCCATCTCAGGTCTAGCCCACTAGACTTATAAGTTAGGTCTATTTTCTATGTATAAACAATATGGGACAACTCACAAGTGATATTCTAAGTTTCTAACATATAAAAAGTAGAAAAATAAAATTATCGGTAAAAAATTAAAAAAAATGAATAATAATGAAACCAATAGTTTGAACTTTTTCAAATTTATAGAATCCAAAGCACTTTATCTTGCATTTCTAGAACTCCTTTCATTAATTAATTTAATTCCTTGTCTCATAAATTCACGTCAAAAATAGAACGCGTTAATTAGCTTGTCCTTCTCAGACATGCCACAATTGTGGGTAGCTATAAAGAGATGGATAATTGTGGGGGTTCATTCACATTTTTCATGTCAAACACAGCCAAACTATAAGTCTTGTGTATGTGTGAATATGTTATTAATCTTATCCAACTTTTTTCGGTTCAATATAATATGTTTTAATTAAATGTATTAAAAAAATGGTATGATCATATTGTATAAATATATAGAAGTCAGCCGCATTGATTTTTCGTTGGTCCCGCGGGTTCGTTACTTTTTTCCGTTATCTTTTTTGGTTTCAGATTAATTAATCAAACTATAGATATATATATGTTAGTTCGCTATATATGTCACAATTCACAAAGTCATCATTTTTAGCAAACGACACTGATACTTATTAAATCAGAAATTCAAAAGGTCAGCTGGTAATACAAAAATTAAATTAAAGTTTTATTTTTCATAACTAGGACGACTCTTAATACTTTGACTGCTATACAAAACCACGACTCATCGTCATATATTAGTTTCATCTTCTCCTATATTTTAATTTCATATCAAGACTCAAGTCTGCCTAAAATATGAGGAACGGGTATATAGAATTAAATAACAATAATCAATATTAACTACACAAATATTTTGACTTTTCAATTTGTACTTTAATTAAAAAAACATTCGATTTGTTCTACACCATGAATCCTGAAAAATCCAAAGATTATCAAGTACCACTTGACATTTTTATTTCTAGCAACTACATATTATAATCTTCCCATTGATTATTCCTACATTAGGATTCAGTGCCCATTGTACTACACACACACACACACACACATATATATATATATATATATATATATATATATAAAAGGCTTGATCATTGACTTTGTTATAATGACTGAGAAACTAATCAGTGTATATGTCAGTTATAAGAATAATTAGTTGTCATATATTACTGAGGTGTTGGTTATTTTTGATTATTTTAAAATTATAATTGGTCGAGAGAATTAAGTTTGGACGATAGTCTAATTTCTTTAGCCTCATTTACTAAGAGGATGGGATTGGAATATTACGATTTGCTATGAAGTCAATAGTTGGCTCTATAGTGGGGCCAACCTTCTATATATAACAAGTAAAATCAACCATATTCTCTGATTACTTAAATAACACTAATATAATTTTATTAATATGGTAGGTTTATTTGTTGTATATATAGAAGGTTGACTCTACTATGAAGCCAACTGTTGGCTTCATAGCAAAATCGTGGACTATTAATCTATGTACGAAACTTCATTTTTATCCACATTAAAATTACCCATACAACCCCCACAAAACATCAGACCAAAGGGCATTTAAGTCAAACACCAACAAGTTGCAAAACGATGCCGTTTCGATTTAGGATTTA